AAAAAAAAAAAAAAAACCCATTAAAATAAATAAACAAATAAAAAGATACAGTTTTCATGACTTGTGAAAAAAACTATAGAGTATGTGTGGGATACAGACCAAAATAACAGGACAAGAACTTCTACTAAAAAAAGAAAAAGCTACATCCCTTCAAAGTGAATTAAGTGGTTTGCAAAATGGGATTCTTTCTCCTAAAATGTGCTCCTTAATAGCAAGAAAACTACAGAATTAGCTTCTCAGCATTGTGAACAGCTAAGTCAATTAGATATCTTGTATGCAGTTAGACAGGGCCAGCCCTGGAAAGACAACCAATACACATTCACTAAAGGTCAGCATCATAAAAAGAAAAAGTACTACACTTACTCTCCCTAGAGATGAAGAGCAATCAGTGATTGATATTCTAGACATCAATCATCTTAAATAGACATCAATCACCTTAAGAGGGGACCAGAATCTCCCTAGCCCATTTCCTTTCCAGAAACTCCTTGTTAATTCTAGGTACACTTGCTACATAACCTGTTTCCCCATTTGATCCATTTAATTAATATGACCTGGCTGACTGTACTTGCAGTCTTATTGGTTGATCATAGCTTTTATTTCACCTCATACCCATCTTGTGATTTTCCACTGGATCTTATTAGTTGACTGTAGTTTTGTCCCCGTTTTGTACCTGCCACACCTCATGGTTTTTGCTCCATAACACTTTCCCTGGTGTCTCCCCACCCCCAGGCAGGAACTGTACTTAGCTCAAAAAATATTCCTTACTTTTAACTATCATTGTTCCTAGAATTCATTCTTTGATTTTAGAGAACATGAACTCACATTTCATTGATCGGGAGTTATATTTTGTTTATTTGGATTACTTGGTGTCCTAGATCATCAGGACAAAAATCAGAGGTTAAGGGTATGTGAAGCCTTTATCATTTTCTACTTTTATTAATAAACTACCAAGTTGAAACTCATTTCTGAAGTAAACTGCCAAATGTATCTGTAATAAAAACTGAAAACTTTTATGTGAGCAAATCTTTTCAACAATAGGGAGTTGTTCCTGTCTGTGAATAGGATAGTGTCCGTGTGACCAACACAGTGGGAGCTGGACATTCCTGACACCCTTGTCCCCCAGATAGCCTCTGGTCACTACTTCTATCTCCCCAGTACTGTCCATGAGAAGTATGGTTTTGGAAATAACATTTAGGCACAGTATATAGGTACACCGAGACAGCCTTCTCACCAAGCCCTGTCAGCACGGCTCCTGGGCCAGACCCTCAAGTTTTCCTACCAACAGTCCTGTTCAACCCACTTGAATGAACACCAAACACTAGAATGCTTGCCTCCCAAATCTGTCCAAAAACTATTCCCAAAGAGTGCCGTGGTATTTTAATCTGTGTTTTCTGAAAAACATCAAAGGATAATAGTGGCAACAAAACCAAGGAATAAACGACCTCGAGACTGCAAAAGGTCCTAGTCGGTTACATGGGGATAATTATCAGGCAGAAAGTGTGAAAGTGCTCTACATAAACATAACTTTGAAACTACAATACTTACTCCAAAAGCTGTGCTGAAAAACAGACTCCAGTTCTGAAACAGGTTAATAAAACACACCTCCGTTCAGATGTAATGGCAACACCTGGAACGCCAGCACTCTGTCAGTGCTCAGAGAGAGAGCTGCAAGGTAAAGCCCAGCTTGTGCAACTTAGCCACTTAGCAATGCTCTACCTCAAATTTTAAAAATTAAAAAGGCTGGGGATGTTGCCAAGTACCGAGGCCGTGGGTTCAATCTCCAGTACCACCACCAAAAATAAAAACTGACACAGCTGTTGTAAGGAGTAAATGTGCCATCAGCGTCAATGTGCCCAGTGTGCGTGTTTGTATACACATACAGTACATTTCACTAAGTGGAGGCTACAGCACTTCTGTCCAAAGGACCAAAGAAAGAAGTTTTTCGAAAGTATTCCAAACTGTAAGAAACAAGGGAACAGAACTCGCAAGTCTACCAAGCGTGCCCAGATCCTGCTTTGGGTGCAGGTCTCCCGGGCAGTCCGCAAAGGCCTTGGATTGAAGTGCTGCCGTTTAACCTCTGGGAAGCAAGGCTGAATCTGCCCAGTTCGGTCCTCTGTCCAGTCACAGCAGCGCGCGCAGAGGCCCTGGACTGTGGGCGGAACGGGGCGGTCTTGAGTTCGCGGCCCGCTCCAGGCTCCACAAGTTCTCGCAGCGCCGGGTCACCGTGGCCCTCTCCGGACCAACCCACGGCCCTCCCCGGCCCGCTCCGAACTACCCCACTGAAGCAAGGCTGAATCTGCCCAGTTCGGTCCTCTGTCCAGTCACAGCAGCGCGCGCAGAGGCCCTGGACTGTGGGCGGAACGGGGCGGTCTTGAGTTCGCGGCCCGCTCCAGGCTCCACAAGTTCTCGCAGCGCCGGGTCACCGTGGCCCTCTCCGGACCAACCCACGGCCCTCCCCGGCCCGCTCCGAACTACCCCACTCTCCCCACACCCGAGCGCCCGCCGGTTTAGACCCTCAGCCCGGGGAGCGCAGTCTCCCGAGTCCCGCGCGGGGACCGTTATCTCCCAGACCGGCTACGGCAGCCCGGGAGAGTTCGGCTTCCTCTCCCAAAGGCAGAGACGTCTAGACTCACCCCTGAAAAGCAACAGCAGGAAAAAGTCGCGCAACCCCGTGTGGAGCCGAAGAAGCGGCCGCCGCCTCAGCGCCATGTCGAGCCGAGCTGAGGGGCTAGGGTGAGCAGCTAGGCTCCCCGGCCCGCGCATGCGCCCAGCCTGCCGGGACCCTGCGACCCGCCTCCAGTTACCATAGCGACCACCGGGCTTGTCGAGCCGGCGCCATGGTGACCGAGGAAGCCGAGGTCTAGTCTGGTTGCTATGGATACAGCGATGCTCTCGACTCAGGCCATGGAATCTCTTTCAGTGAACTTGGTGGGAGGAGGTGTTCAGGAGAGCGGCAGGATGTATTTCTGTGACTGTAGAGGTCTGAGATACCCCGTTAAAATTTGGGAAGTGTTTCTCATTTTACAAATAAGGGTGCACCCAATTATATTTTTAAAATGATTGCTTTCACATCATTAAGCCCCCTGATTCTAAATGTGATGAAAGGGAAAAATGCTAAATCTGCTTAAAATGTTAGCAAGTCATAAACTGCATACACCTTACTGTACATAAAAGAAATAGCTTGCTAAAATAACAATTCAATTTTGTAGTTGACCAAATCATAATGATATGTATACCCAACATAACAGCAGGTGAATTCTTTGTTCTGAATTCTGAAAATTGAGAGATGATAAGGCTAGAAGAGAAAAATAGAACAGGAGCTTAGGAAGCCAAGCAGATGGGGAGGAGGAAATGAACCGGAAAGTGGACCTGCAGAGGCAGGGGAATTTAGAGTGTCATTCAATACCAAGGAAAATCCTTTAAACAGCTTGTATTGTATCTAATATAGAAAAAATCTAGCAACATAATAAAGGAATTATGAGAACAGTTATTAATTAGTAAAGCATGCCAGAGTTCCCAAAGACTAAGATTTTTCAATATTTAGCATAGGGAGGACTTCAGCTTTGCAGCTTTCCTACATTTTCTTAGTGATTTTAGTTTTCTGAGAAATAGAAAAATATATGTATGTATATCAAATTTATATATAAATTCCAAGAATCATGAAATAGGTTGAGGTTGTTACCAAGGATATGCCTCTACTTCTATCACTGTATGAGCTTCTTTATAATTATTTATAACTGTTTGAAACTTTGCAAGTATGACTTTCTCCAAAAATCTCAGAAAGGCAAAATAAAATGTTTCAAATAATTCAGTGACCTATTCTGATTCTGTCTTACCTAAACTTTCTTTCCACCATGTGCCAAAGTCATAAGTAAACATTTGTAAAAGTCACTTTATGATGGTGGCCTCTCTCCCTTCATCAAACACAAAATATAGAAACTAAAAAGAGAACATTTCTGCTTAGACCCCCTGACCCTCTCCCACTCATTTCTCTATTATTCTCTTTAACTCCTGGTCACATGGCTGAGCATATTTATCTAACTGAAGAATTCATTCTGTTTACTTGGGAAATGTGAGATGGTGTCTGACTGTGGACAGATACACTTTTCAGAAAGCAGTACCTTTTATCTTCTGCTGAATTTTCTGTGTTTGCATTATGAAATGGTTCTTTCTATTAAATGGTCTCCTCTTTTAGGGAATCATTTAGAACTCAGTGAGATTACAAAGAAAGACTCAATGAATATTCTATAAGGGGCAGAGTTTTCTAGGAAAATGACAGGTGCTTCCTTGTAAATCATTGCGTCTCCTCCACAGATGGATTCCACATGTCCTTACTGATGGCTAAGCCCTGTTTCTGGAATGGAAGGGTAACAGGGTATACATGCGGCTGTGAAGTGGTCTCTTGCTCCCTAGGATTTCATTGCTCCCTTGAGAGTTCTGACCCCAATCAGAAGGGAATCCAAGCTAAATGAGGCCAGAAGCAAAACTCTGGAAGCATTCAGTGAGCAGAGATGTGAAGTTTGTGGCTCTATCATAGCATTATCCATCTGAGCATGTTTATTTCTAATGTGTGGCTTAGTAGGGAAAGGTACATTTTATAAAAGAGCTCAGGGAAATAAATCTGCTTGGGCTTAATTTAAGCAAAAGTGTTTACAATACCATTCAATACAAGCACAAAGGGCAAATCAAGTGGCAAGAGTAGATTTCCTGTGAGACTCACCTCTGAGCAGACTACACAAGGTTGGGAAAATTACTTAACTCTCCAAGCCCTGGACTCCTTGTCTGTGAAATAGGGACACTATTACTCATATCAATGGAAGGATTATGTGAGGTTAATGCTTGAAACATAGTAGGTGCTCAATAAATATCTATTTCCTGTGTCTCTTCTTTTTCCCTTATTTTTGTTCAGAGCAGGCAAAATGGTTGTAATATTCTTGAGGAGACTTAGTAAAGAAAAAGAGCTCAGCCAGAAAGGGAGGGGGACTAAGAGATAAGTGGAGTTTTACAGTATTGTGTGTTTACTCTCTTGGTGTAACTGTTTTCTTTAAAAAGATCCTCCCTCTCCCCTTCCTGGAGTTGGGATTTGTACACCTCCTCCATTGCCAGAGACTCCTGTCCCTCACTTATTTGGGAATAAAATTGGAGAACCACCCATAGATTGTTGTGAATCAGAGTAACTGTTTCGGAAAACTGCTTTAAAGGAGAGAAAAAAACCTAGTTCTGATGGCATCTCAAGATGAAGACCGAACAACAGGTTGTCAAGTTATTAAGCAATAAAAAATCACAAGCAGTTGGAATATTAATGTCTAGTCTTCATATAGACATGAAAGACATACAACATGCTGTCAAGCTCTCTATGGGAATAGAGCACAGTCGGATGAACTGGAAAAAATTTAAAGCATAGCCAATCCTTGAAAGACAAAGAAAACACCAAGTCTCTGGACAAACCTAAACAGCTGCTTTATGAACTGTCACCAATCTCCAACTTTTCAGAGTGAGTCTTTTGCATCCTGTTCTAATCCACGTTTTCAGAAAGCATTTGCTCAATTCATTGCAAACTGGAATTGCTACAGAAATTGTGTGAGACATTAAAAAATGGCCCAGTGGTTATGTAGGTTTTGGGTTTGATTCTTGCATTTGGCAGCTACATGAAAGGTGGGAATAAGACTCAGGAAGTGGTGGGTGGCTTTGGATTAGATATTTTCCCTAAGATGAAAGATGTCTAAAGCAGTGACAACAGGAGAAGCCTTTAGTCCTATATTATTTCATATTATCTGCAAAATTTTGAAAAAGAACAGTGTGTCTTTCCACTGCAAGAACCACAAGATCTTTTTCAGTCCTCACAGATGAAATTTGAAGATTTTCAAAAAGATCTCAGAAAACTAAAGAAAGACTTGAATGCCTATGAGCTTGAAGCTGGGAAAGTTTACCGGGTCTCCTCCAAAAGAGTACATGTAGCCTTTCAAAGAAAACATGAAGCAATTTATTATTCAAGCTAAGATTGAGCTGGAGGCAGAGGAAACTTCACTGGCAGATACTTGTAAATGATTTTTGGAGACTGCAGCTTGTTTCCTCATAAAAATCGAAAAATTGGAGAAGAAAGTGTCCCCAAATATTTTCTTCAGTATCTGGCATGGATTCAGCTCTGATTTTAAAGTCTTTTGGAAGAAAGAGGATAAACTTATTCTCCATGAGAGATAAAAAGAAGCTGAAGAATGTGTAGGCATAAAAAAGGAAAATCACTTTGTAAAATAAAACCAAGACATGATTCTGGAATTAAAGCAAAGATAAGCATGAAAACTTGACCAAGGAACAGAAGAATGAAAATGAGTAACAGCAACTTCCACAAAATTCAGCTGATCTGAGGTTAGGAAGGAAACTGCATCGCTCTAATCATGGTTCTTTTTAGCCTCTTGTATAATCTTTGTTGAATTTTAGTGTATGCTGATCAGTGGAGACCAGTGGAGAGTTAGAAACCTTTTCTTTTTGTAACTGTTTATGGCATCACATTGATAGCCCCAGTCAGCCTAAATCTTGGATGGTCCTTAAAATGTCTGAGAAGCCCACAGCCAGTCAACAAACTTAGTGGTTCCTCCCAACAGAGGAACACCCCCTTTCTTTGTCTGTCATAACTTCATTCAAGGGTCCACTACATAGACACTGAGGGTTTTTTCTATGTCCGGATGTTCCCTGTGTCTTCTTCTCTTTTATCTGTTCTTGCAGCTCCTATTCTTGGGTATCTCCATCCTGCCCGAAGTCTCTCTACCATGGGGTCATCATCCTCACAACCTATTATGTTCTTGGTCTGCATGTTTAGAAATTTTTCCTCGGATTTTCTGATGATTATGGAGTGAAAATGTCAAAGAACAAATTTTGCACATTTTGCAAATTCAAGTGGTCCTCTTTTGGTGTGGGCTGGCCCTCTGAGGGCTACCTCCATCCTCCCCTGTTTCAAGCAGTTTGGAAAGTAGGTACCAGATCACCAGGACACCCTGATTAGTTACCTTACATCAACTCATGGTTTAACCTAGTGCACCACCTTCCTCCATGGCTAAAGGCCTGTGCTGCAGAGGCCTATTCTAAGTTGCCTATTTCTAAAAGCTGTTGTCTCCCTTGTAGGGAAACTCCAGAGATAGAAACAAGTTTTGCAGCAGTTAGATGCTGAGGAAGTCCTCCCCTGTCCACCTCCATATAAACCTAGTTTGCCCCCCTCACCTGTCCATCCCAACCTGCCTGCTCTGGCACCCTCGTTTCTTTCTCTAATTCCCCTGCTACCTTTCCTCCCATATGAGAGCATCTCTGATTCTGGCAGGAGGTGACTACTTTGGGCAGACACAGTTCAATGGCTCTCTTTCCTTTGAGGGAGGACCCACCTCCTGATGGGGCAAGACTGGGAACCCTCCTGTTTGTGATACATGTTCCACTTTTGACCTCTACAACTAGAAAATACAGAATCTACTGTTCTCTGAGAAGGCCCAGGTTCTGATTTCCCTGATTGAGTCAATCTTTAGGACCCATCTATAAACCTGGGATGATTGTCAATAGTTGTTATTGATCCTGTTCACCACTGAGGAACAAGAAAGGACTAGGTTTGAAGCTAGAAAGTTTTTTTTGGGAGGGTGTTCAGAGGAGGAGGCCCACGAATTGCTGAAACAAGGCTTCCCCTCAGAGTGTCCTGAATGGGACCCAAATTCTTCAGGAGGGAAATAGGCTTTGATCACCTTTTACCAGAATTTATTGAACAGGATCTGGGCAGTGGCTCAGAAACCC